AGGGATGTCCCCACCCAAAAATGTGGAGGTCGCTCTCCGAGGAGGGATGTCCCCACCCAAAAATGTGGAGGTCGCTCTCAGAGGAGGGACGTCCCCACCCAAAAATGTGGGGGACTTCTGCACACGGACTGGAACTGCCTGTGACTGCATGGCTGCAGGGCGCCCACATGGCAAGGCTGGCGAGCCACCAGCTGTTAAGGGCCGCCAAGCCCGACAGTGACTTGGGGGCCCTCTGCACCCTGCTGCCCCATCCCTGTTGGCTGGGCCGCGCTGCTCACCTGGTAGCCCTTCCTCTTCTTCAGTCGCTTCTTGTTCAGCTTCTTGCAGGCATACAGCTTGCCGGTCGCCTTCATCTGGCAGGCCGACACCTCCCCAAAACCCCCTTTCCCCAGCACCCTGAAGTCCAGGAACCAGTCCTCCCCCATGGGCTGGGCTTCCAGCCACTTCCACTGCAGGAACCTCAGGAAGTACAGGCTGCCCAGGTACTCCTGGAAGGGGGCTTGGCCCAGGTGTGCCAGGGTGGCCTGCAGCAGGGGCTGGAAGAGCCCGTCCTGGCTCTCCATGGGCCCCTCCTTAAACTTCACCACCATTCCCTCATCCAGGAAGCTGCAGAAGAGTTTGGCCTGGGGGTCCAGGTACTGGGCCAGGATGGTCTGGGCCTTCTGTGGCTGGAGGTCGTTGTCTGCTGTGTCATAGTCCTCGATGTCTTTCCACAGCTCCAGGGCTGGCACGTGCTGCTCTGCTGATTGCAGGAACTGCTGAAAGAGCTTCTTGCCGATGGGCTGCTCCAAGCACACGCTCTCAAATTCCAGGCTGAGGCTGTCACGGAGGTACTCACACTTGGACAGCGGGGGCAGCTTGAGCTTGGCCAGGTACTTCTTGTCCCGGGAGGGTTGGGAGCTGCTGCCGTCAAAGCTGCCTCGGGCAGCGATGAAGGCAGAGTTGGCCACCACGGTCTCCAAGGACCCGAAATCCATCCCGGAGCTGGCTTCCTGCCCGCTTCAGGAGTGAGGGCCCATCGGCCGAGGCCAAGCCGGCGGTGCTCACAGCAGAGCAGGCCTGACCGCTGCCCTTGGCCTGTGGCCCGTCCCTGCCCTCGCTGGACGAGGGAGATGCCCTGGCCGTGTTGAGGGTGCCTAGGGACCACTGGGAAGCCCCTGGGAGCCCAGGGCTGACACAGCACCAGGCTAAATCTCAGCTGGGGTCACGGAGGACGCTTAGGAGTGGCGAGAAGGTGCTAGAAAAAGACAATCCCCTGAGCTGCTTGGAATCCGATTAGCTCATTCTGCCCGGCCCTTTCCTCCAAGGGGCCGCCTCGCTTTTCCCCGAGACGGACAAACAACTCCCAGGCTTCTGGGGCCCCTGGCTGGAGAGGCACTCAGAGCTCTGTTCTGAACTGCCTCATCCACCCCCTGGCCTCAGCAGCCAGGCTCAAGCCTGCTCTTTCCTTGGGATGTGGGCCCGACAGGAGAGGGTGGTGCCAGGAGAAACCATAATTTACAAAGGCTGTTTTTCCCTACTATATTTCATTTTTATTTTTAAGAAAATAGCAAGTGAGAAGAAAACCACCTGATAATAGGAATTTAGAGGAAAAAAGCCCACAATGACCAGCTTCCTGGGGGTCTGTAGGTGAGACCACCAGTGCTTACTGAGGGGTCAGTTCCCAATTATTTTTCTTCTTCTCACCTGGGGTTTGCAAGCAAGGCAGGACTGTCAAGAGACAGTTGCTGGTGACACCAGGACCAGGGAGCAGAAGATCCCCGGAGCTACACCAAACCAAGGCTCCACTCAGAGGGCCGTATGTGGAATACAGCTGGGGCACACCTGAGACACATCTGGGGCACAGCTGCGGCACACCTGGGGCACACCTGGGGCACACCTGGGACATACCTAGGACACACCTGGGACAGCTGGGGTACAGCTGGGGCACATCTGGGACACACCTGGGGCACACCTGGGGCACACCTGAGACACACCTAAGGAACACCCAGAATCCACCTGAGACACATGTGGGACACAGCCATGGCACACCTGGGGCACATCTGGGACATACCTGGAACAGCTGAGACACACCTGGGAACACCTGGTGCACACCCAGAATCCACTTGAGACACACCTGGAACACAGCTGTGGCACACCTGGGGCACATCTGAGACACACCTGGGACAGCTGGGACACACCTGGGACACACCCAGAATCCACCTGAGACACACCCGGGACACATCTGGGGCACACCTGAGATACAGCTGGTGCACATGTAGGATACACCTGGGACTGCTGAGGCACACCTGGGATATACCTGGGGCATACCTGAGACACCTGAGACAGCTGGGGCACACCTAGGACACGCCTGGGCTGTACCTGGGGCACACCTGAGACACCTGAAATGCAGCTGAGGAACACTTGGGACCCATCTGAGACACACCTGGGGCACACCTGAGATCCACCTGGGATACAGCTGGTGCACACGTAGGACACACCTGGGACAGCTGGGGCACACCTGGGATATGCCTGGGGCACACCTGAGACAGCTGAGGCACACCTAGGACACACCTGGGGCACAGCTGAGACACACTGGAGATAGTTGGGGCACACCTGGGATGCACCTGGGATGCACCTGAGACACACCTAAGACAGCTGAGGCACACCTGAGACAGTTGAGGCACACCTGGGATACAACTGTGGCATACCTGAGACACACCTGGGACAGCTGGTGCACACCTGGGATGCAGCTGGGGCACACCTGAGACAGCTGGGGCACACCTGGGATACAACTGTGGCACACCTGAGACACACCTGGGACAGCTGGTGCACACCTGGGGCACACATGGAATGCAACTGGGGCACACCTGGGATGCAACTGGGGCACACCTGGGATGCAGCTGGGGCACACCTGAGACAGCTTGGGCACACTTCGGACACACCTGGGACACACCTGGGGATGGTCATGCAAATAGGAGTGTCAGCTTCATGAGGGCATGGCCCTGCCTTATTCCAGCACACAGTAGGTACTCAATAAAGGTTTAGAGAAGAACGAGGAGGAAGTTAGCAGGGGATTGGTTCCAGCTCACACAGGGAGGAAGCAAAGGGTCACAGAAAGGAAGAATGCCAGAGTGTGGAGAGGTTGAGACTGTCAGCCCACCCCGTTCCACGTGGGAGAAGAGGCACCTGTGGGAGGGCGCTGGGGCTGCACCTGGCAGGGTCCTCTGTAGCGACCAAGGAGGCTGAAGAGAGGGCCTGCGGACTGAGCTGATGTCCCCACGGCCTCCTGAGGGCTTTGGCTGGTGGATCACAAGTAAATATTTGAGGTGAGTGATATCCCATCGTCCGCCAGGAGCCCTGCACGGGCCCAGCCCTGCCCTTCACAGCGGTGACCTTGGGCCAATCACATTTACTCCTTCCTGCCTGCTCACTCAGTGGGGCAACTGTGGTGCTTTGTGAAGTGAAGCCGTCTCTGCTGACGTCTCCCTGCCTATCCTAAGCCATGCCTCAAACAGCTACACACACGAATCGCCCAGAGACCTTGCTGGAATAAAGATTCTGCTTTAGTGGCTGGGCGGTCCAAGACTGTGCACCTGTAACAAGCTCGCAGGTGGTGCTGATGCTGCAGAGATGCGGGGTCTGAGGAGGACGGCTTCCTGTTGGACTGGGGGCTGTTTCACCTGCAGTCATGTTGGGAAGCGTTCGGTGAAATAAAGTTAAATATGTTAAATAAACAAAGTTAAAAATATGTTAAACATGCCCATCACAGGGCTTATTCAGTGATTTCAGGGTGAACATGGTTCTCAAAGAGAAGTAAAGTATGTCGTTCCCCAAATTCATTTGGCCCTGGAAATCCCTTTTTAAACTCTTTATTCTGTGATAGTTGTGGATTTACATGCAGTGTTAAGAAACAATCCAGAGAGATCCTGTGTACCCTTAACTCCGTCTCCTGTAATGATGACTCTTGCCAAGTAGCGAAGATATTGACATCCATACAGTTGAGACAAAGGCCGCCTCCATCCATGGGACCCTCCTGTGCCACTCGCAGATGCACCCACGTTCCTCCAGCCCGCCCTCCTCAACGTCTGGCAACCACGACTTCTCCAAGAACATTATATGAATGGAGTCAGACACTACGTAGCTTTTCAGGATCTGCATTTCTCACTCAGCACCATTCTCCAGGTGTCAGCCATGCCCTCCTGCTCGTCTCTGAGTTGTGCTCCACAGAGGGTGTCACAGTCTGTTTCGCCGTTCACCAGTTGAAGGACCCCTGGGTCATCTCCTGTGTTTAGCTATAAAGCTGCTATAAACATCTGTGCAGGCCTTTGTGTGAATATGTTTCTATTTCTCTGGGGTCAATGCCCAAAAGTGTCGTTGCTGGTTGCTGGGGCACACAGTAATTGCACGTTTAGTTTCGAAGAAACTGGCAAGCTGTTTTCTGGAGTGGCCATGCCATTTTACATTCCCACCAGCCATGGGGGAGCAGCTCCTTCCTCAGGATCCTCCCCAGAGTTTAGCGCTGCCACGGTCTTTTATCTTGGCTCTCCTGGTAGGTGTGGGGTATTCCCTTACGGTTGTAACTTACATTTCCCTAATGGTGGTCGAACACCTTTCCATGTGTGGATTGCCACCTGTGCGTGCTTTTGGGTGACACGTCTCTTCATATCTTTTGACCATGTAACAAATGGATTGTTTGCTTTCCTGAGTCTTGAGATTCTATCAATATCAGATACTAGTCCTTTGTCAGACACACGGTTTTTGAATATCCTCTCCCACTGACAGCTTGTCTTTGCCTCCTTTCTATATGGGCTTTCACAGAGCAGAAGTTTTCAATTTTGTTGAATATAAATATTATGGATTGTGCTTTTGGTGTTGTCCAGCCCCAGATCTTGAAGATTTTCTCCCATATTTTTCCTAAAAGTTTTATAGTTTTACAATTTACATTTATGTTCATATCTACTTTGGGTTAATTTTTGTAGAAGGTTTAAGAGGTTGAGGGTCTTTTTCCTCCCACTTTGGCCAATGGATATCCAGTAGCTCCAGCACTGTTTGTTGAAAAGGCTATTTTTGCTTCATTGAATTCCTTTTGCACCTTTGTCAGAAATCAGTTGCACATATTGTGTGGGTCTACCTCTGGATTTTCTCTTCTGTTCCATTGATCTATGTGTCTCCCTATGACCATACCCTACAATCCTGAGTACCATAGCTACATAATAAGCTTTGAAATTCAGCAGACTGAGTCTTCCCATTTTATTCTTGTTTTTCAAAAAATTTTTCAAAAAATGTTTAAAAAAATGCTATGTTCAAAATATGCAAGAAAATATTTACTTATTCTAGTTCCTTTGCTTTTGTATATAAATTTTAGAATAATCTTGTATGTATCTACCAAAAACATTGTGCCTGGATTTTGATAGGAATTATGTTGCACCCATATATCAATCTGGGGAGACTGATCTCTTTGTTATGTTGAGTCTTCCACACTATAAACATGGTGTGTGTCTCCATTTATTCAAACTCTATTTCTTTCATCACTATTACATGGGTTTCAGCATGCAAGTCCTGTACATGTCATGTTAGATTAGCACCTAAATATTCCTCTTGGTGTTGAGCAATCATAAATGGTATTGTGTTTTTAATTTTGGTATCCATATGCCTATTGCTACTATATAGATGTACAGTGGATTTCTGCGCCCTCATCTCATATCCTGAGACCTTGCTAAACTCACTTATGAGCTGTAGGAGTTTTGTTATGGATTCTTTGAGATTTTCTACATAAGCATTCATGTTATCTGCAAATAAGGACAGTTTTATTTCTTCCTTTCTGACATTCATGCTTTTTATGTCCTCTTCTTGTTCATTGCTCTAGCTAGAACTTCCAGTACAATGTTGGATAAAAATGAGGGAGCCTTGTTTCCGGTCTTGGGGTAAAAAAACGTTTCATCTTTCACCATTGGGCATACTGTTAGCTGTGGGTTTTTTGTCAGTGCTTTTAATCAAGTTGAACAGGCTTCCTTCTACTCTTGGTTTGCTGAGAGCTTTTGTCACATGGAAGCTGAATTTCATCAAATGCTTTTTCTACACTGATTGATATGATTGTGTGGTTTTTCTTCAGCTTGGTAATGTGGTGGATCACACTGATTGGGTTTTGAATCCTGAACTAGCCTTGTATTCCTGGAATACATCCCACTTGGTCATGGCGTTTGCTTTTCATACTTCGTTGGATT